CGCACCGCAGACGTGTGCAGTGTAAATAGTCTAAGCATTAATGGCAGGGAAAGCCCCTTATACTTGAGAGCAGCCACATATGAAGTGTTTCTTGGAGGTTATAGTACATTGAGGAATGATCATGACTTTTTACATACACCATGTGACCTGTTAATGCGGAAAACCCGTTTCCATTGCAGTTTTGCGAAATATTCCTTTTTCAAATTGCCTGAAAAACCACCTCATGCGAGCGTAAAAACTTTTTTGCAATATATGGGCGTTTTTGCGAAATTGACGCATCTCCATTAGGCGTATTTTCAATTCGCAATTTCAATTTGCGCAATTTGAAGGGTAATGGAAACGCAGCTACTGATACTTAAATGTAATGTATGTTTGTTCACCATCTGGTCAAGAAACAGTGGAATAAAGTGTGTCCTAACCCCAGAAATCTAAATTCTAAATGTAAAGGGTTAATCTTACAAAATTTACAGATGCCCAAGCCATATTTTACTCTAAATTCAAAATGAAAATATATTAAATTATATTTTAGTTCAAGAAAATTAAGGCTTTTTTTAGAACAATTATTACAGTAAAGAATCTAGTCAAAATCACCACTGACAATAACAAAAAAGTACAATTGTGCAGATAATGCAGTAATGAGAATTTAGGGGAAATGTGATTGATTGTCATAAAGTAATCTTAATGGTACTTGACCCTTGACTTCTTAACTTTAATGTTTCTCAGGCTGCTATAAATGTGTGTTTCTGAAGCACATTTGTTATAGAAAAAGCTGTGAGAAAACAAACTGATCAGATGATGATGGTTATTTATTGATGATACAGTCGTCATGTAGTGTCCTGATTCACTGATCTCATCCAGAGGCTGATCTCCGAAAACATTATTTAGATTTAATAATTTCACTTCATAGTAGCCCTAGAATACCAGTGCATGAAATTTTGTCCTGCTTTAATATTTTGAATGTTTTTAAGTCATTATGCAGAAATTATTTGGACAGGATCATGTAGACTCACACAGATATCAAGATTCAGCGTATGAACCTCAACAATG